ATTAGGGATGGTTATAATTTTGAATTAATGAGTTTTAGGAAATTCAAAATACTTTCAAGTTATTTTTTAAAAGTAATCTTACCATTTTTTAATAATAAACATGTATATTTTGCAATCACGTTATTTTATAAATATTTGAAAATATTATCACAAAAGATTTTACATTTTAATTAAATACTTTATTAATTTACTTTAAGTTATAGTTATAATTTTGAGTTAATTAGTTTTGTAATTGAATTAGTTAGTTTATAATTAAGTTAATTATTTTTTATCTTCGTTAAGATTAAGAAGCTCATTAATTTATTTATATTAACTCCTCTTGTTTAAATTTTAGCCGAATTTACCAATTAAATTCTATTAGGCTATAATTGAAATCCATTATTTAATAACATGTATCCCATCTTTTAAGAATAATTTTGGGCCACTTCCTAAAGGCCCAATTCTAATTCCCTTTCTCAAAATTTCCAGCCCAACTCCCTCAGTCCCCTTTAATTTCCAGCAGCATGATATTCCCAGCAATACAAACATTACAAAGACCCAACCCTTTTCCCCCTCTGACCCGGCCCAACCCATTGTCAATGCCAAAGAAACCCATTAGCAAAATCATTCTCCAGCAAACAATACATACAGCAGCACCAAAACGACCCCACTGCCCATACCGTCTTCTTCACGCAGAAATCCAGACGCAACCCAGAAAAATCCAGCCAAATCCGGAAATCTCGTCACCCATAACCCTAGCAACCTAATCCATCACCTTCACGTCTCCTTTTCCCCCTTTTCACAGAGTCTCAGAGCAGAGAAAGACTCCCCATGCCTTTTACTGTTGGTCTCGGAAAGGAGCAACAAAAATTTCAAATTTTTCTTTCAAAATCCAACGGATTTCCCCCAAAATCGCCCCAACTTTCCCTATAAATAGTTCCCTATGTTCAAGGGATGAAAGGGGGAAAAAGGGGGGAAAACGATGAGAGAATAGAGTTTGAGAAACATATGTACTCAGGCAAAAAATATATATACAAGAAGAGTTATTAGCTGTAAAAGATAAGCAATACATTTTTTTTTCTACTCACTTCTAGCAAGGCTCGTCGGAACCTCGTGTGGTGGTGGAAGCCCCTTCGTTCCAGCTCGTCTCGACCCTAGTTCGCTGCCCTTTTTAAGGTAATACTCATTTCGCTTTGAACCTATTTCACTCGCAATGTGTTGCTCGTTTGACTCTCAGCTGTGTGAGCAATTTATATGTTAACATTTTATTCTGAAATGCTTTTCGATCCCCTGTTGGCTGTGAATCAGCAATGAAACTCTCTTAAGAGTCCAGGGCTATTGTCTGCCTCTGTTTCGCTGAAAGTTTGGTGTTTTTCCCCTTTCCCGAGTTAATGTTCTCCTTGTTAGAGTCTTCTTATTTTGGTATTATCTCGATTGATGAGTTATGAGAGTTGTGGTTCAGTCTCAAAATTCAGAATCACCTTTTATAGGTGATCTCGATTTTTCATAAATTGATACATATATGCGTTGTTTTCTCCTCTTTGTTGCTTAGACCATTGTAAGTCTTAGGGGTCGATTTAGCATGAGTTTCGCGGGTCTTGTTTTATTTGAATATGTTCTAATTTTGTATGAGTCGGGTTCGTCTGTGTTTTGTTCAGATCCTGCTTAAAAAATTATTTTGTCATTTGCGATCGGCTCCTTGTAAAAAATGTGAAATGTATTCAAAATGGATATTTGTCTCCCTCTTTGCTTATCTCTGTTTAGTCTGTCCAACAAACACGTTCGGCCATCTTAAGTGATTAATTAAAAGCATTCAAACGTCGGTTGTCGTCCTTAGAATAGAAAATCGCAACTTGGTTCGGGTTTTATAAGTATCTGTTAATTGTTCGATGTTCCGAGGTTCAGTAATTAATTTTCCAGCATGTTGTTGCTAGTTAAAATAGTAGTAGCTCTCTTATCTTTTGTCTAAACCTGAAGATGACTGTACCGATATTAGCTTGTCGCCTATTTCAGTCATTTACGTGGCGTCTCTGTCCATCCATGGCCCTCTCTTTGCATTATGTATTTGTTCATGTATACTTGTGCTTGTGTGCAACATGTTGGCTTGAGAAATAGGCTAGCTTGGCTTTATTTACTTACAGTTATATTTCATTTCCCTTTAAAATGATCCAGCAAAGTCCCTACTAGTTTTCACTTCCTTTGTTTAAAAGGATTGGATTTGCTTAGCCTCCAACATTCAGCCTTTTGACATGGTAAATTTGCATTGTTAGATTTCATTAAATAAAGTTGATTAGACTAAAGTACGTGATGTTTTATTGGCTAACTATGTGGCATTGTTTGCTCTTCACCTTAGCTAAGTTACTACTGTACCTTCACTTGATTATTTTAATTTGAATGAACAATTATTTCAGTACTTGTGGTGGCTCATCCTTTAGTATCATTACATGTTTTTGAGGCAGTAAATGGGTTTTCCCGGAAAAGTTGTATTTGTTCACAAATTACTAGTAAATGGGTTTTCTTTTTGCTTTAAAATTTGACCTTGTTAAATCTGAATTTACATGACTGTCATTACCTTTGAGTGTTATAAAAATTGTTCTTATTAGTCATTGTTAATTGAACTTCGTTTAAGGTCGAGTTCAGATCAATCGAATCTCGTGTGGTTATTTTGCTTGTCTTATCCTTGTGAGTAGATGCTAACTTTTATCCATGTGTTCTTTTCATGTGAAATATCCCTACCGAGTCCATGGTGGACTTCTCTTCTTTGCATTTCCGAGTCGAGCCACAAAGGCTCTTTTCCTTGTCATTTGAGTCGGCCAGGCCGTCGAGAGCAGGTGTACAGGTGTCCGGAAGCAAAAACTACATGAAAAGGGCTAAGAAATGATCAATATACACCGATATACAGCTGATGTATACCAAAAACGGGATTGAGTAAAATCCCCAGAAATTGCAGCGAATTTGGCCCAAAAAGGAGGCCCAAATTCAATTTCTCCTTTACCTAATTGTGTGATTATTTATTTATTTATTTATTTTAAATTGCGACTTAATTTAATTTCCCAAAAGATAAACCATATTCTTTATGTTAGTTTCCTTAAAAATAATTCATTTTATCAACTCTTATGCTTATTCAAATACTTTTTGTCAAAACTTTCACTTATTTTTAATTAGATTAAAATAATTTCTTGGTTTGTCTACCAAGTTGGTTCGAATTATTATTTCTAAAAAATGACGTAAATAAATTTTAATTAATCTAATTTTGTTAAAATCCTAATTGATCAAGTTGTTTCAATTAAGATCCTATTTTCTAAAAAATTTAAAAAATTTATTCTTTATTTAACTATTTTTATCAAAGTTAATCGAATATCGTAAAATATCATATATTCTTATGTTAAATCATTTTCCTAATTTTTTTTTAAAAGATATGTTCTTTAAGGGTTTTCTTCATTTAAATCACTTTTTTTTCACTCATTTCAAAATTGTTCTAAGTTAAAGTATTTCTTTAATAAACTTTAAAAAATGTTGGTCAGAACTTTTTCAATTGATTAACAATAATAATAATAATAAAAATATATATATACTTACTTAAGTCATTTTCTCAAAAAAAAAAAAAAAGGGTTAGTCAATTAATAAGAAATGATTTTCATGTTTTAATTTATTAAATTGGTTTAAAATGAATTAAATAAATTCTAATTAATCTAGTTTTATTAATATTCCAATCACTTGTATTTCGAGTCAAATGTATCATTTTGGATCCCTTCCTCTAAAAAATAAAATGAAAATAAAATGCGTCATTTATTTAATTATTTTCTTAATCAAATATATTATAAGTTATTATTTTTTATGTTAAATTATTTTATTTTTATTTTTTTTCTTTCTAAAAATAGTCAAATATATTTTAGTCAAGTCGCAGGTCAACCGCATGTTAGCGGACACTTCGAATGCTTAAACCCTTCTCGAAGTGTAAATTGAACCCCGAACCCTTTTTGGTATTCTCAAATGATTTTTTCTGTTTAAATCTTTGAAAATTATAAGTTTTCTTGATTTCTTTAAAAAATTAAGTGGCGACTCTTTCTAAGTATTTTTCCCAAACTGTTTTATACGTAGAACATTTCAAAAAAAAGTGATTTTTCTAAAGATAGGAAAATTACGGCACAACATACACCATTCTCAACAATTATAGCAGTAAAATGTCTTGCCATAAATTCACACTTACATGTACGGAATTGAAGAAACTGACATTTTAATTAAAAAAAACAATGAAAATGAGAAGATGTTGAAAACTAATCTTTTAAACCTAGGAAGAAAATTGTTTTAAAGAAAAAAAATGTTGGATAAATTGAGAACGAAGGGTGAAGATTTTTTTTAATAGATGGGTAATTGTAAATAGGGTGGGTTTAGTTAATAATGAGTGGGTAATTGGTGGGTTTATAAATTATATTAAATAGTTAAATTGTTTTAAATGATAGTATGTTAAAGAAGTGGTCAAAATTGGACCCAAAGGTGGCTGAGAAGGGTATTTGAAAGCCAATAGTGATGGGGTGATTTTGTACCACTTTCAATACTTCGAGGTATTTTAGTTCCTTCTTCGAAGAAATTAAACCTTGAACACTGAAAATTAACAGGAAGTTAGAAAGTTCTTTTTTTTTTAGGTTAATTTCGTTCAAGAGAGAAGATGATATTTTTTTTTAAAAAAATCAATGGCTCTTTTGAAAGAATTGGAGAAAATGGTGTATTTTAGGAGGAAGTAATTAAATATAAAAGAGAAAAAATTTGACATGTAACACTTTCTAATTCATTTTTAAAAGCAAAGTTTCTCATTCACGCGTGTTATTTACGTGAAAACAACCATAGGGAGAAAACGAATCAAAATGTTCTATTTATAAAAGTTATTTAATGTTTTCGTACGGTAATAGAATACCTACAAAATTAAGATGTTTCTTTGAAAATTCGATACAAGACTCTTCATATTAGGCCCGCCCAATAAGTGGTACTACCTAGACAAAACCGATCCATATTATCTCAACGCCCGAAAATAATTCAATTCAAACTCATAGAACACAGTAAGAAGTGACCGTTGGGCGAAACACACAAACCAGATGCCGACGAACAATCTGAAGAACACCGCCGGAAAATCTACGGCTAGATTCAAATCCACAAGAAAACCACTACGAGATGTTTCTAATTCAAACATGGTAAAGCCATTAGCAACTTCGTTCAAATCCAAGAAGCTCTACGGAAGGGAAAACGACGACGTCGAATCAGTTGCCGGTGAAAATGTCATGGATCGTCTCCTTCTCATTCGCTCCGACTTCTCCTCCGTTATTCATCAGGTAAGAGTAATTTTTGCTCAAAAATAGTTCGAAGAAGTATTCGATGACGGTGTTTGAAGATAAATTATTTAGCATTAGAATGAAATGGATTCGAATAGAGTGGAATGGATGTAGAAGTCCTATACAGGCACAGCAAATTGAAATAGATTGGGGGATTTACATGATTTATATAAACAATCTGTTTTTTTGGAATTGGCCTCGTAAGGTCTGCATACATTTTACCTTCCTCCGACCTCACTTGGGGGATTTCACTGGGTATGTTGTTGTTGTTATATGGCCAACCAAATGAGGATTTCAGCGCTGGATAGTTAATTAATTGGTTTGCTTATTAGTGCATATTGCTTTGTTGCACTGTCAGAGGTTATTGGTGTCACTTATTATAAGGAGTGCAGTTACAATTTTACACCATTTTGGATACTTCTCAGTGCAACTGAGAGAGTTTTTGATCATTTTGGCATTGTCGGTGAATTTTTATATTCTTGTAAAACAGGTTTTGCTGCATTTTTTTTAATTTGGTTTGTTTGGGGTTGGAGGAGGAGGAAGTATCTAGTAGTTCACATTGGTTATTAGAAATTGATGTCTTTGCACTCGGCTGTGGAGTGTCTCTGCCTGCTGTTACTGCTTCCATAGATGAGTGATGAGTCTACAAATGAATGGAAACAGTACGTCTGAGCAGAGGTAGCTTCTTAGCTGCGAACCAATCCTAGATAACGTCATGTGAAGAGATGGATTATGTAGCTAATTTTTTGGTACTGGGATAAGGCTGTGTTATTTTGACTTTATGTCCTTTAGGAAATTCATAAATCTACATAGGCAGTCCCAGTTAGTTGGAATTAAGTTATAGTCATGTTAGTATGTTTCGTAAGATCCAATAGTTGGTAGGAGTCCTTGAGTATTATTAGAGACTTATATGCCATTTCAAAATGTAGATAACATTTAAAATAGAGGATTCAAGTGGCCGACCCCAAATTGCTTGGAATTGAAATGTAATTGTTATTGACGTTCTTTAGGAAGTTCATAGGGTTACCCAGAATAAGATGATGAGCATCAGTTGTTGGCCCTATTACTCTGGTAAATGGAGCAGAACTGAAGATCTCTGTGAAAAAGTTGGACCTTCCTGCTTCCTTTTTCATCCCTTTTTCCATAACCATCATCATCCTGCGCTCAATCTCCTTTGACATTGCTGAGAATTAGGAGTTTTACTTTCAGTCGTCTTTACCTGACATATATAAGCATTTTGAATAATGACAAGGCATCCAGATATCTATATATTTATCACAGTAACTCTCACATAAACTACATCTTGTATTCTCAAGTTACTTTAAACTCAGAAGAGCATATTTACATCTTGCTCGAACTGTATCAGATACCAATACCAATCTTTTGAAGTTTGTTTTCCCTGTATCAACTTCAATGTTTTCATAAAGAGGTTAATCTCATCTTTCTTTACATGATCAACTGCAGATTGATGAACTTGTTCAAGTGCTCAAACTAGGGGGCAAGAAGAGTGGGAAGGAAATCGAATCTTTCACACATGTCTTGTCTGAAATGCAAGCTTCTTTGAAGGTTCTCTTTTTGTGTCATATTCTCTGCTCCTATATTAGAGTCTTCCATTCCACCGTATTTTACATATATTTTATGTTGGCAAATTGCAGCCATGGGTTCCCAAATTTCAGAAAGCCCTTTCTGATCTATCCACGAGGCCCGAACATCCATCTGAACAGTCACAAATTAGTGAGGCAGTTCCCGTGGTAGCTGATAATACAAGCGATGCTGTTGATAGCCCTGACCAATCCAAGTGGGATTCACTAGTTTCCCCATCACCCCTTGTGTCCTGGAGGGCAGGCTGTACGACTGAGGGTGGCAGACAACTTTTTCTGCTCACACCTTTACCTCTTCGCAAAGTACTCTCATCCAAATGCCAAGGATCTTCTAAAACGTTTGACAACTACACATCAGCTACGAATGCCCAGCTACGTCCTCTTTTTGATATTAGGGGAGATATGGAAGATTGTTTGCTTGAGAATACAAAATCTATGGCTAGTCAACTACCATCCCTTTCTGACATAACTGGGGAGATGGACATACCACCATCCCTTTCTGATGTAACCGGGCAGATGGACATACCACCATCCCTTTCTGATGTAACCAGGGAGAGGGACATATTGCGTGTGAATAATGAAGTGAAGTCAATTCTGAATAATGTTTCTGCTCATGATATGACCATCAACGAGGTCCCTCAGAAAAGAGATCTTATTTCGCCTGTAAGACTTTCACAAATTGACAGTTCGTTGCTAGTAATGACTCCATGCTTGAAAATGTCACCGCCGAAGACGTGTGTACTGCTTGAACCTTCATCAGAATACAACTGTCGGGACAAGCATGGGGCTTATAAAATGACACCGTTTCCTGTTTCACGTCATTTTTCTAGCATGTCTGAAGATTCAGAATCCTCCAGCTCCGAAGGTGCTGAACATTTGACAATGAAGTATCCTGAACTATTTGGAATCAAATTAAGTCAAAACTTGACAAACGGAGGGAAGGTGGCCGATGATGAATCACCAGACTTTCTATTTTCACCACCCAAAACTTGTGTACTGATGGAGCTACCTGTGGAAGAATCATTGACTAATGCAGCTGGTGAGTACCCCTTGCCAAAATATACACGATATTGAAGATCTTTCTTTTCTGAATGCAATCAAGATGTTTCCATTTGGTTTTCATTAACATGACCATTCTGATATTTATTGTTCTTTCTTTCTTTTGGAACAGAAACTGGTGGCAACTTAGATATAGTTGAAAGAACTCCCATGATGACAGAATCGAAGAGCATTCTTGTAATGGGAAAGCATCCTGGTGAGAACACTTTGAAGAAAGAACTGTGGATGAAATTTGAAGCCGCGTCAAGTGATGGCATGTGTTTTAATCCCTCTACTATCCACGAAACTATCCAAAAAGATTTCCTTGAGAGATTGGAAGAGGTTTCTGCTGATGAGGCAACTGCAGAGGAGGAGGGGGCCTAAGATGGTAGAGATCATCACCCCCCAGATGTGCCGGAGTATGCAGGGAAGAGGGATTCAGAAGACAAAAAAATGGAACTGTGTATCTTAAGGTAAATTTGAAACTTGTATTAACTTTCCCTATACCACCTCCTTCCCTCCTCTTTTGTGAAGTAAAGGTGAACATAGCAACAAAGGACTTCAAATATGGTCCAAGTGCAATTTTTTGTAATTTTCGAATGAAAACTTTGAGTTCTTCCCTCCTCTTTTGTGAAGTAAAAAGATGAACATAGCAACAAAGGACTTCAAATATTCCAAGTACAATTTTTTGTAATTTTCGAATGAAAATTTTGAAGTTCTTTAGTAGGTGTTTGGACAATATATGAATGGATGTTAAAAAAAAAGCTTGTGGAAGTTCGAACTAGGCATTTGGATCATTCTTCCAAATTAATAATGTACATCCTAATCTCTTGATTTGTTTAACAAAACAATAAAAACACTTGTATTTTATAAATTATCCATGAAGACAAAATTGCAAATAAAAAAGGCATGGTGCCAAATAAAAAGATATCTAGTATTCCGTCTCAATTTAAATAATGTAATATTTAACTGGATACAAAATTTAAAAAATATGAAACTTTTTTGCAATATATCTAAATTATCTTTAAGATAAATAAAATTTTAAATAGAAGATTATATCTTTGTGGATTTTTTTGTCAAATAAGTGGACTCGACATAAGTAAGAAATTGATTGTATTTTTATTTAAATATATCACATAAATTAGAACAAAGACAATGTTAAAATACAATACCCAACCTATCTCCCTCAAAGTCACTCTATGTGGGTTAGGGGTGTGCATTCGGTTTTTCGGTTTGGTTTTGCACTATTTGGTTTGAATTTTTTGGTTTTTGGTTTTGTAAAAGTGTAACCCAATCCGATCCAAAATAAATTTGGTTTGGTTTGATTTTCCCCTATTCGGTTCGGCTTTTTTCGATTTGGTTATTCGGTTATGTCAATAATTAATAACATAACCAAAGTAATAATATTTAATCCCTTAAATATACTTTCTAATATAAATCATAAGTAAAACTTAAAACACAATACTTATAAGTATACCTACTATAGATGTAATTCAAACATAAAATACAAATGTAATCATCATGAAAGGCAATAACCAAAAAGGGACAAAAGTGGTTAACTGCAACTTAATTCTAAACATTAAACCAAACAAAGTAATTTATTAATCCAAAACCAATCCGAAAAACCAAAAAACCAATCCAAATAAAAATTCGGTTTGATTTGGTTTGGTTATTCGGTTTAATCTGAATAGCGCACACCCCTAATGTGGGTTGATTTTATTCACTTAACTAATCATTATTACCTCAAGAAATTATTTATAAACAAGCTAAAGCGATAACCAAATCAATAGCGTATTAATTATTGTTTTTGGTTATTTGATTTGAACCAATAAGCAAATGCTCCTCATTTTATTTTTAATTTTTTTTGTTAATTTTCTTTTGTTCATGTATACACTATTTGCTACTTACTAAATAAATTTACGTGGCACAATGACAAGTCTCTGTCTCAACATTTGATGCTTATACTCAAAAGTCATAACAATTTCATATTTTAAGGAGGTCCAAAAGTCTTAATCTACATCTAACAACCATAATAATAACAACGCTCAATTCTCTCTAAAAAAACAAGAACGACATAAATGAACATATGCATCAAGTCATTTTCTAAGAAGAAATATGTAAGTATTGGTTAACTAGCAAACTTGGAGGAAAATAGGAATTTATAATTTGTTTGAAAAGCCACAAGGGAATTATAAATGAGCAAAATTAAATGTAATTAGACAGTTTAACATGATTGTTTGATCAGTAATTACAAAGTTGAAACAAATTGAGTTTAATTGAAATTGTGTAATTATACTCTCCAATTGATGTTGAGAAATTTTTTTTTGGTTTTCCACTCGGTGTCCGGAGTCCACATTGGAGCTCTGACTATATCCAGATCGCGCTCTGCAGGGCCCATTTGGGGGTGGCGCTCCCAACAAGATTTTCTCCATACCCAGGGCTCGAACTCGAGACCTCTGGTTAAGAGTGAAACACTCCCACCAGTGCACCACAACCGATGTTGGTGCTGAGAATTGGGTGTAAACAAGGTTGCTTTAAATTTTTAATTAATTTAATTTTTTATTTTTTTTTAAATTTGTGTTAAAACTTTAAAGTTATTATTGTATGCATAATTAATTAGGAATAAATGGGTTATCGATTTAACTATCAACAAAAACTTAAAATAAAAAATTGAATTAATTAATCAATTAAAAGAATTTACAAAAGCCTTTAAAAATAGCTAATTCAATAAATATCGATAAATTAACAACATTTTATATATAATTTATATAATTAATTTTTACACACCTCAATTAAAAATAATTATATAAAAAATTATTATTTTATTTATTATTTTTAACAAATATATCAAATCAAGCATCAACAAACCTATTGTTTTGATTTTCTAGGTATACTATGCACATATTTTTTGACATATATATGAGCACCAGTCATTAGCGTTGATTTCAAACTTCAACGAAAATCTGCGAAGATAGAGAGTGAGTTGATTATGTCGTAGTTCAACTTATCTCCATTTGTATATAGTTTTAGCTAGTCTTTTGTACTTGAGACAAGTATGTACCTATTTAGTCTAGTTTGTAGCTTGTACTTGTTTTATCAATTTTGTACCTTCGTCCACTAGGTCATGGGATTTGATCTTGTACTTGTATATATTTGTCTCATTTCCTTCTTTCCACAGTGTGTTTCTTTTTCTTGTTATTATCTTCTCATTGGTCGTTGATTCCCGATAAGCTTGTTACTTGTGGTTTCAGGATATGGGGTAGACTTACTTATTCGTGAGTTACAATAGGTGTCAACATGACTCGAGTTTCCGAATCATTACATCAAGTAGGGACTTAACAAGACATCTCAGATTCGAGCATGGGTATAGAAAAATTTCTATTAGGAGCACTACCTCAAATAGACCCTACATATTGTAATATGTAATTCAAATTTATTCGATACTCCAATATGAACTCCAAACACGCTAATGAAAAAAAAAAAAAAAATAGAGTAGGGAGAAAACAAAAGAGAAAAAGGAAAATATAAGCAAGTTTCCTTTTTTTCTCTCTCTTGTTATTGTACACTCCCATCCACAAACTGAAGTCTTTTCCTCTTTTATCTCCCTCCTTCTCCACCTTATTATTCGCATATTCTTATCCACCATTTATAAACCTTTCTCCTTCAAAACCAACATCAACAAAAAAAAACTAACTCCTAATCATAAATTAATATTAATTAAATCTTATCCATTTACTCGCCGAGTCAATCATCATGACTCGGCGGTGTTCCCATTGCAACAACAATGGCCATAATTCCCGGACTTGTCCTACCAGAGGTGGCGTCACCGGCGGTGTCGGTGGTGGTAGCTCCGGCGGCGGAGGTGTGCGGTTGTTTGGTGTTAGGCTTACGGATGGGTCGATCATGAAGAAAAGTGCGAGCATGGGAAATCTATCCTCCCTTCACTATCATTCTTCTTCTTCCGCTGCTGCTTCGCCTAATCCTGGTTCTCCTTCTTCTGATGTTCTTCGTGAATCTGTTCATTTGACTGATGGTTATCTCTCTGATGATCCTGCTCATGCTTCGTGTTCTGCAAATCATAGAATTGAAAGGAAAAAAGGTATGATGTTTTTTTTTAAATTTTTAATTTTTTCAAAATTGATGAAATGTTGAAATGAATGTGATATTGAGGCTTATTTACTGCTGTTCATTTGCAAAGTATAGATGAATTATTCCTTGGAAGCAAGATTAAAATTAGTTTAATTATGAGGAATTTTCGAAATTTAATCTTTTTTCGGGACAAACAAATCTAGTAGCATGCCTGAATAGAGCGTATGGAATACTGTGGTGACTAGTTTGTGGTTGAGGTTTAATTGATTAGTTGATTTGCAACTTTTATGTGTTTTCCCTAATCCTAGAAAGGGGCTCTGGGAGGGTAGAGTGTAAGCAGACCTTATCCTACTTTAGAGAAGGTAGTAGAGTCTGTTTCTGATAGTCATTTAGCTCGAGGAAAAAGATAATAATAATTGGATAGGCAGGATGGTTAGATTTACGTAGTGCTTGATATTGATTTTCATCTTTAAACCCCTTCTCCTTTTCTCCCTCTTATTTTTGTCTGTTTTATAGTAGAAAATAAGAAAGTTTTTTTTTTGTTTCCATTGATTTTGTTCATTTGCAATTTTACACTTCCCTCTTTATTAACTTGGATAGGTAGGATGATTAGGTCTATGTTGCGCATGATATGTGACTGTGATGATTTACTTGAATACTACATAAGATTCAATACTCATATAACCAAGCCAACTTTTTTTGGGCAAATTGATTGATATACACCGGCCAAACCCCTACCCCCTTCTTTCCTCCATCCTAATTTGTTTGTTTTTACAAAATGAGACTATCTTTTTAGTATTTTGCTTTCTCTTTATCTTGGGGCAGAGGGAGAGAGGTAAGAGGTTGATGTTTCAGTTTGCATCTTTGATTGGTGGTACTTAGTTGGTATTTTCTTCTCTTAAAAGTTGGTTTAGTATTTTCTCCTTCTTTTGTTTTGGTTCTTTTTTCCCTTTTAGGTTTTTAATGCTTTTGTTTCTGCATCTTCTGTAATATATTGCTGTTGTGCTTTATATTTGATGTATATCTTAGATGTTATGTTGTTTGTGTCCGGGATTTATTTTTTGGTATCTTTTGTGCCTGATAATTCAACCTTGGAACTCAATCCCAAATGCTAGCTATATAAGTGAGCATTGTCTAAGACCATATGAGGAGAAAACAGTCCACCCCTCAACTAATGTGAGACACTCTGACACCCCACACAATAGGACTGGAAATCTAGAGCATAGACAACATAATATGAGGGCCCAATGTTGTATAAACCAAGAACATGAATGTGTGTGGCTCTGATAACATGTGAACAGAAGTGGTTTTTGGGTCTAACTCAATCTCAAAATCTAGTATAATAAGTGATGATTGCCTAAAACCCTATAAGAGAACCATCTTTCCCTCTTGCCAACAGTTGAGTTTCCGAAGTACAAGTAGATAATTCTTGTTAGGTCGATCTGGTTGATTTGTCGCATGTTTTTGCTGGTTGATTTTTTGCATGTTCTTGCTGGTTGAATTGTCTCTAAGTTAATTTTTTCGAGCAGTTTTGGTATATGGAAACTTGCATACCATTTCTGGTGTGCTCAGTGTGAAGGTTAAGTTGTGGGCTAGATACTCGCACTAGGTAATCCAATTAATATCAAATGTCCAGAATAAGTGGAGCTCTTTTTTGTTTTTGTTTTTTTTATAAAAAAATGTTTCTTGTGGAATAGTTTGGTTTCGGCTTGCATAATAAAAAGGGTTGCCCAATGCATGAAATGTTGCATTCACATAAGGTCCAAAGAAGGGCCACACCATAAAGGAGGGATGTAATGTAAGCAGCCTATCACGAGGCCAGCACCAGTTGTTGATTCCATGGTTCAAACCAATGATCTCTAAGTGATATAGAAAACTGTACCATTGCTCCAAGGATCCCCTTTTTTGGCTACGTCTTGCATATTCACTTCAATTGTCTTTCATTTTTGCACTCTATGCAACTTTGTATTTTTTGAGAATTGAGCTGCCTTTCCTCTTTTGATTGGAAAATACTGTTTCTGTCAAGTTGTAAGTAACCAGTATGCCCCTTCTTAGATGTCTAATAGTGCCTTCATGAATTTTTGTCAACTTGTGACCAAAAAAATGTTGAAGTCATATTCATCATCTGAACATCTTGATCAATTTTATAAAATCAAAAGTTCTTATAACATCGCCTGGAAGAGTAAAGATCAGCTGCCTTTTTGGACATCTGATGCAGATCTTCTGTAACCTTTGTTTTGTTTCTCCTTCCTTTCAAGGCATTTCAATGCCACATCTTTATGCCACTTTTCAGTATCCTCTACTTCTCAATATACTGGATGATTTCAACTTACTTCATACCTTTGTCACACTCCAAATGTCAATTATATCCTAGTTAGCCATGAGAATGGATGCACCCTCTCGGTCACATTTCTTCTAGGGAATGTAAAGTAAATCAATCCTTTCATTTTTAGCTGTTGTTTTTCATTCTTAATGACTCAAATTTATCGACGGTAAATAAATGGAAATGAGAAATTTACTGCTTCCTGCTATAGATATTAATGAATGTGATGATCATTGGATGTAAGATGTTTGCAGTGGTAGGGTGGAATTGATATAAAATAGTGAATTTGGTCTATAGCGCTTCATACTGTTTGAAATTCATACAGTGTCAGTATGTTGCAATAGTTGATGATAAAACAAACTGATGTTGGAAAATAGTTATTAATATAGCTTTGTTCTGGTGTGCTTTACTGTGTTTGTGTGAAATGGAAACTTTCTTATTCACTTGTGTGTTTACTGCATCAATGAACAAAAAGGGGCCCGTTCTTGTGGTGTGGTTAATGCATTTGTGTGAAAGTGCACCTTTCTTATTCACTTGATACAAATACATTCAATGTGATTTATAGTGTTATCTAGTTGGCTAGCTCTTCCTACGGTTGCTGATCATAATCAAAATATTAGTCCTTCTACTGTAATTCGTGTTACATCGATGCATCTTCAAGTTGACATTTGTCTGTGATTTGGTAATGCAGCTTAAAATGGAGGTTTTGGTTTCTCTTATACTTCTTCGTGTAGTTTCCGTCCTCCTTTCTATGGAGAAGATAAACTGAAAAGATCAACATAATAAGCAGGGTGACACAAAATGTGATCCCACCAATAGTGCTTGTAGTAATGACATGGTTGTTTCTTTAGAATAAAGTTGTATAGCAAGTCATTGATCCAATAGTCTTTTCGTCTAAACAGTAACGGTTTAACTTTGTTATCTACGAGGCTTCTAAAGAAGAAATGATGTGCTCTTGCAATTATTTTCAAGTCCATTTATCAAATATTCTTATTTAACTCACTCCCTTACAATTGGACATAGCATGTTGCTGTTCAACTAATGATGCCATCTACCATCTTGATTTGGTGCGTGATAAGTTCGGTCTAAAATGTTATCTTCTCAAATTCTTAGAGTTGTGCAGAGATGCATGAGAATTCATGGAATATCATCTTAAACAAAAGTTTTTGGAATAGAAAGCTTTTCTTTTCTCAATTTGTGGTTTTTGTTGGTTTTTTAAAAAGGGTGGAACAACAAAAAGATTAAACATTGGAATTGTCTCTTAATTTTTATTAAGCATAGAGTGTTTTTGAACAGAAGATAGAGGTAGGGTGGATGAAATGGAGGCTCGCATCAGAGTCATGTGTGATAAGAAGGACATGACCTTAGATAGGAAGGTGTGAATGACACGAATTAAGGTAGAATGTTAATAGGTAGAAGAGTGTCCATACTAGTAGGTAGGAGTGCTTTGTCTTGTTTCCCTTACTAGTAGTTGTAAGGCTACTTCTGTAGTTTCATGTTCTTCAATTTATGTTACCATCTATTATTTCATATAGTTCGTTTGTTGTATTGTTTGTAATAGTACTATTTTGTCACTATCTGTGGTTTTTGTTACTATTTATTGTCTCTTGTTCTTCCATTATGTCTTTTTCTAGACTACTTTTGTCTTGAGCCGGGGGTCTATCGGAAACTACCTCTCTAGGTAGAGGTAAGGTGTATGTACACTCTACCCTCTCCAGACCCCACTGTGTGAGACTACATTTAGTATGTTATTGGTGTAGAGGGTCTTTTAAAAAGCCAACTTAAAAGTAGAAAATTTGCAAAAGAAAAAATGCATAATGAAATATAAAAACCTAAAATATCTCAACTAAATTTGTCCAACTAAATTTAAGTTTAAACAAAGACTCATCCTACAACTACACTACTAATTGTTCTTGTAAATTTGTAGCAACAAAATCAAATATTCAACACTCCTCTGCTTCAGTTGCTGCAATCTAATAAGGTTGTTCCTCCTCAAAATTTCTGCTTAGGTAGTTTGTGCTTGTGAATTCTTTTGAGTGTTGTTGAACTTGCACACTTTTTTTGTAACATGATTTTCCTTCTCCTCCTTTATTTTGTCTTTTGGTTGTGCATAAATCATCCTCAATTATATTGTCTTGTATGAAAGATCTTTTAATTTGGACAACCATAGGATTTGCAAAAATTTGTCGTGAGGATTTTTCTTCCATTATAATGTCTCATAGATCATAGGTTTCAAAGTAAAACTTGAACTTCACTGACCAATTTTGATAATTTTCATCCGTGATTCAAAAAGATATTGATGCTTGTCTTGATTAAAATAGGTATGTATTAAATTAAGTATTGGTTGTATCCCTATATTAAAAATTGGTATTGGGCTCAAGCGTTAAAAATAAGCAAGAGTTAAAAAAAGGCTCATGCGTTAAAAATAAGCACGAGTTAAAAAATGAATTGGAAATAGGTATAGTTTAGTGGATGGAAGGTTTTCTTCTTCAGTGAACTCACAGATCCAGTAAAATAAGATCAATGGAAGATCTTATACCACGGGTGGGTTTTTAAAAGGGTGGAGCAGCAAAATGATTGAAATTCTCTTAATTTTTATTAAGCATTGAGGAAAGCCTTAAATATCTTACATAAAATTTAATAATTTTTTATTTATACAGAAACTCCTCCTACGACTAACCTATTTATTATTCTAGTAAATTGACAGTAACAGAAGCAAATATTTCCCTTTCCTTTTTGGATCTCACTTTTGTTTGTTGGGATGATTTGCTGAGAGAGTTTTGTCACTAACTCCAACTTTAGGTGACAAATTTATCACCTAGGTGTGTGGAGGAAAGTTGGTTGTGAACTAATTTCTCGGATGTGTTTGTAGGCATTCCATGGACAGAGGAAGAGCACCGGCTTTTCTTGATCGGGCTACAAAAATTGGGCAAAGGAGATTGGCGGGGTATATCGCGAAACTTTGTGACGTCAAGGACTCCTACCCAAGTAGCTAGCCATGCCCAGAAGTATTTTATTCGGCAGAGTAATGCTACTCGGAGAAAGAGAAGATCCAGTCTTTTTGACATTGTTGCTGATACGGTTTGTCTTGCTTCTCAAACTTAAGCTTTGGATAATGATCATATTATGACCATATAGGCATTGCTGTGCACTATAGTTAAGGCCTAAAGCTACCCCTGCCCAAGCCCACCCAAACGCATAGGCAGTTGACATGCCGTTGCAGCATGTCTACTCTTAGTTACTTGGTCATCCATCTCATGTTACGACGTATGAGAAAAGTTCTCTTCCTGTTTCCGCGGGGTGAAACTTGAGCTTTCCTGTTTTGCTATGTTATCTGGGGCTTTTGGTGAAGTCCTTTCTTAGGACTTTTGTTTTGATCCTTTTTTATGTTTCTTTTCTATGATGTTAAACAGGCTGCTGATGCTTCCCATCCACTTCCGGAAGAACAATTTATGCTCCCACCTAGAGCAATGGAAAGTGATAAGGAACAGTTAGCACCCTCCGCAACAAAAGCAATAGAAACTAATTTTGCAGATTCACTCCCTTCCTTAGAACTTTCTCTCAAGTCAGATTTTGAATCCATGGAAACCGCTCCAAGTGAACCTGTTGAAGAAACGAAACCAAATACCACAATCAGCGAAATTCCTTCAGTATTTCCAGCATTCTTCCCAGCTTACATTCCAGTTCCATATCCCTTCTGGCCATCAAATGCCTTCCCGGTCCCTGAAGATAGAGGAGCAGAACCGTCTCATCATCAGATCCTCAAGCCAATTCCATCCGTCCCTAAAGAACCCGTGAATGTAGATGAACTGGTGGGAATGTCCCAGCTCACTTTAGCAGACACTGGTTCTGGCCTTATTGAGCCTTCACCACTCTCCCTTAAGCTAACAGCAGAACCATCACGACAATCAGCTTTTCATGCTAGCGCACCAGTCAAAAGCTCAGAGATTACCAAGGGTGAAACTGCTCCGATTCAAGCACTTTAAACCTATTGGGGATGAGTCTACCTTGTTTTTCTTAAGGGTGTAAGTACATGTTCTCTTCCCTCTCATCTATGTGACATAGGGTAGGTACTTTCAAAGAAGCAGCAAGTAGGTGAATTTAGCTGAAAATTCATTCTTTGTCATTGTATAGAACTTAGGGTGTCTAACATACTTAATACTGTGGTGTTTTATGTAAATTGTTGGCTTCTTTGTAATTGCTTTTATTTTCTCACATTTAAGAGAAAATATAGGGTCACTGATTCTGTTCAGTGTGATGGTTTGGCATAGTTTACTTCCAATTTGAGAACTTTTGATATGGAGTTGATTGTCATATGTTATGCATCTATAATAGTATGGTAAAATCCACAGTGTAAAATGTAGAACACTTCATGCTATGCTTATAGAATAATCATGAACTTATTTTCAAGGCCTATTTTTCAAATTAACTTAAGTGTGAGTGAGATAACAATGCATCATTGTATGATGGATAATATAAAGGTGTAATACATAATGTGTTCTTTAACTTGGCTTCACTTAACATCTAATGTGGAGTTTCAAATTTAGGGATTTTTCATCTATGACCCTCAACTTTGGGTGCACACAAGTAGATGCTTAAATTTGTATAAAATTATTCAAGTAAATAACACATCTTACATAACAATTTGTGTGAGATATACTTGAACTGATTTGTAATTATTTTGGGTTTAATGGCTCATTTATGTAGTTTTTCCTAATTAATAACTAAGGTAACTTACAAAATTTTCACTAGTTCGGAAGTTAATTACTTAGATACATGTTATTTTACAATATTATTAATCTTAATAGATTTTGATGCGTCCATATACATTCAGTTACATGTATCTTGGGATATATGAGTCAAAATTAGGTGTAATTTGTTCTAGATGCATTGCATCAAATTAAATTTACATGTACCTAAGATACATAGAAAAATTTTGCTCGTCTCCCTTCAATCTCGCTCACCACTCTTCTATGTATCTGGTATCCAATTACATGTGAATCACTTTCGATACATGTATCTAGTGTGATTCGCATGTATCTGGGATACATAGACAAATGTCATTGGCTCTCTACTATTCTCTCGACTCTCTCCCTATTTCAATGTATCTAGTAACAAAAAATATGTGTCTAGGTGTATTTCGCTTGAAATCTGGTATAAAATTATAAATTAGTATATAAAATACAATTATTTCAAACCATAAGGAGAATTAGTAAATATGGTAGAAATGTTTGTGTAACTACGTAGTTTCTCCAAATTATTACTACATATTGATATTCCCGCTATTGGATATGGAAGGGTCGTTCGGTTTAATGTGTTATTAAAATAATATTGATGTTAAACTCATACATTAATAATATTGTGCTTTCAGTAGTACTAATTGACAAGATGTGAGCTAGAGTTAACGCGAAATCGAAAGTTTGGAGAAAGACCCTAGAATTAAAATATTTTAAGTTGAGTGGAATTAAAATTGAATATTTAAAGTGTAAATTCAGTGATGTGTCTCATGTAGTGAACGTGGATGTGAGAACACCCAGGTCATTTCCAAGAGAGAAAGTTTTAAGTACTTGGGTTATTAATAATCCAAGGTAATAGGTAGGATGACGAGGATGTCACTCATTGTATTAAGGTAGGATAGATGAAATAGACTCTCATTCAATATCATGTGTAATAAGAATGTGTCACCTAGTTTTAAAGGTACGTTTTACAAAATAAAGGTTAGAGTTACTATGATTTATATGACTGCGTGTTGTTCAATCAAGAACTCGCATGTTAAGAAGATGAGAGTTGTATAAATGAGCATGATGAGGTGGAAGTTTGATCATACTAGAAGAGATAAGACTAGAAATGAGATTATTCTTATAAGGAGAGAGTGTCCTCCATAGAGGACAAGATGCAAAAAGTGAGATAGGTGGTTCGTGCATATGAAAAGGAGATGTGCATTTGCCCGATTAGAAGGTGTGAGAGGTTGGACAGTGTGGATCTGAGAACGGGTAAAAGTAAGCCTAAGAAGTATTAAAGTGAGGCGATTAGGTAGGACATGATGCAACTTGAACTCACTGAGGACATGACCATTGATAGGAAGGTGTGGAGGTAGAAGGTTAATAGAAAGTCGAACGTATTTCTTTTCCATTCTCACAATATTAATATTATTCTTTTTTATTTTTCCTCATATTTATATATCTACTAGTATAAGCTAAGATACATGATTTGTCATGTCATCGTGAGATATTCATGAGACACATATCCATCATGTAAAGATATGAAAATAATCATTAAAAAGTTGAAGTATCAAAATGACACTGAACGTAAAATTTAAAAGGTTATATATGTGTTTAGTCAAAAATAAAGGACTAATTGCCAATTAATATAGTTGTGAAGTAAATTTAAAATCTCTTAAAAAGTTCAAAAAAAAATTTGATCTGTAAAATCTCCACTCTTCTTCCTTTAGCCTTCAAAACCCTACATTTCATTTAGTCGCTGACTCGTTTTCTCTGTTATATGAATGATCTTCTTGAGCTTTTTGCATCTTTTATTTTTTTGTTAACGCTTTCAATTGTTACATTATTTTTTATGGAAGTAAAGTTACATTTTTATGGAACTACATGGAGGAAACAAGTAGCAGGTTATCTTCAGATAAATAACTATACACTTGCTTAATTTTTAAGAATGTATCAATATCTGCAAATGACTTGTTATTTGCATCCTAGTAAATGTTTATGAATGTATTTCACTTGAGAAGTTTTTGTTCATTGATTTTTTTGGATTTTCTTTCAATGTTTAGGATGGTCTATGGTTGTTGTTCCATTGTGGTAAGTCCATAATAATTTTTTTTATGCTATGAAGAAATTGAATCGAAATCTTTAGTGTCTTATTATTCTAACTCTCATTCTAAAGTTGATAAATATTTCTAGATTCTGAATTGGTTATCCATGTCAACATCGATTTATATCACAAATTCTTAGATCTATTAACCATTTGTCAAAAGCTGATAAAATTATATGAATCATTTTTAACTTTTAAAAAAAATCTAAAAGTATTTATAAACTATCTAATTTAATAGCATGCTTGGTAAAAAAATAATTCTATTTGATTAGAAAAAATTCTTTATTGTTTGCTATATCACTCAAAAGATTATTCTTCTTTTTTATATCATAAAACTCACTTATTTTTTATTATTTTTTCAAAAGATTACTCAAGTTTAAAAGTGGTACATATTTAGCTAAATTTTGATGACATGACTCTTGATTTTAAGCCAAAAAAGAGTGTTAAAAACCCAATCCATTTTAACAACTATTATTTGACCTAATACCTGATCTGTAAAACCTATTTACATGTTATGTCCAAAAATTCTTTTATATGATAAACAAATCTCTTTATATGACTAATCTAAACAATAATAATAATAATAATAATAATTATT